ATTAGAGAATGCTCTTCATTTACTGATCAAAGCTTCACAACAAGAAGGGTTCAGTGACGATCTCATTAATCTTAAAAACCATACTGTAGTAGGTCACAAAAGTAAACTATTATGCCTAAACCCTTTTCTTGACAAACAAGGTTTAATTCGTGTAGGTGGTAGGTTAAGTAATTCCAATTTTGGTTATGACAAAAAATTCCCTATAGTACTATCATCAAAGCATGTTTTAACCAAACTAATATTCAACCATGAACACCGACGATTATTACATTGTTCCCCAAGCTTATTATTAGCGTCCATTAGAGAAAAGTGGTGGCCTCTCTCAGGAAGAAATATCGCGAGAGAAACAGTTCATAAGTGTATAATTTGCTATAAAACAAATCCAAAGTCAATTCATTATCAAATGGGAAATTTACCTAACAATAGAGTAGAACCTAATCCTCCATTTTTTAATTGTGGTCTAGATTATGGTGGCCCATTTTTAATTAAAGATCGAAAGACTCGAAATCCAAAATTAATAAAATCATATATCTGTTTATTTATTTGCTTTAGCACGAAAGCTATTCATCTTGAAGTAGTAAGTGATCTTACCACCGAAACATTTCTAGCAGCATTTAGAAGATTTGTTTCGAGACGTGGTAGACCACAAAATTTATACTCAGACAATGCTACAACCTTTATAGGTGCAAACGCACAGCTCAAAGAATTGTTCAATTTTTTAAAATCAAGTGATAGCATTATTTCAAATTCATTATTAAAGGAAAACGTAAATTGGCATACTATTCCCCCCAGATCTCCTCATTTTGGAGGTTTATGGGAGGCAGGTATCAAATCTGTTAAGGGACATTTAAAACGTATTTTGGGAAATGCACACGTAACCTTTGAGGAATTTTACACTATATTAACACAGATTGAATCAATCCTCAATAGTCGCCCATTATACCCATTATCCTCTGATCCCAACGATCTTTCCTGCTTAACCCCTGGGCATTTTCTCATCGGAAGACCGATTACATCGCTTCCTGATCCTGACGTCACCGAAATAAACGAGAGCAGATTGTCACGCTACCAAAGAGTTCAGCTACTGATACAGCAATTTTGGAAACGATGGAGCCGCGAATATATCTCGGAACTCCAATCCCGAAATAAATGGAAAGTAAAGGTACCAAATTCATTGCACAAAGGCTCTCTGGTCCTTATCCGGGAAGACAACTTGCCACCTTTAAAATGGACTCTTGGAAGAATCCTTGAACTTCATTGTGGACAAGACAACATCCCACGTGTTGCAACAATCAAAACACCGCAAACCACTATCAAACGTTCGGTTAACAGACTATGTGTGTTACCAGTGGATACTACCTACTAGATGTGCGAGTGTTAGTCAATATATGTGTTGAGAAGTGCCGTTTAAATTGAGTGACGATATTAGTAATAATTTTAGTTATAATTTATCACACAGATCAATATTCAAAAGTAATTTAGTTGTTCGAAAACTTTATAGTTTTCAAAGGGGGCAGAATGTTAAGTAGGAGTTAATTGTTATACATATTATTTTCAGTATTCGTAAATCATCGTCTTAATAACATTTACAGTTAATAATATTTAAGTAACGTTCATTCAGATATTTATTTCGTTTCATCATTTTTATTTTGTACGTTTCAATAATTCATCTTCAAAACGAATCTTTATACCTAGAAATTGTCACTGACTTTCTAAATTCCTGAATATTAATTTTTATGATACTGCCCGCTACCTGCAAGGGGACAGTTCTTACAACCAGGGTCGCTTGACGCTCTGATTTATCAACCCCCTCTAAATTTTTGTAGTTAGTAAGTAACATCCAGTATTTGTATGACTTCGATTTAAGTTGTTCAACAGTAAACACACTTTGTAGTTATCCTTACCATCATCATAGTTTTGTACCTTTGAGTCAAATTCTTCGTATTGTAAATATATTTATTAAGATTTAATATCCAACGTGTTTTTATCCTCCACCAAGAAAAGTTGAGTGTCGTTAACTAAATTCGAGTTTTGACATTCAAACGCAATCTAACAATAAACCATCAGTCATAAACGAATAATTCCCTTAATTAGTTGAATTAAAATGATTTTACCTGTATTTGAAAAATCCAATTGGCAGCGATGGTACAACTTAAAGCTAGAAATATTAATCGTTAAGGATAATTCAGCAATTTCATCAAAATGGCAAATATAGCTGATTTATATACATATGAATAAGAGAAATATAATACATAGGTAACTATGAGCGATGTGCCCTACGCCCCTACAGGTTTAGATCAGGCGTCGGCAACCTATGACCCGCGGGTCATGGGAAAACCTATTCGATAATTTCAAGTGACTCGCATGAATTCAGAAAAAAAGGACTGTTTAACTGACCCGAAATGTCTTCAAACTCATCATATTTTACGTAGTTCAGTTTGACCCGCGACTAATGAATGTTACCGACACCAGATATATATGATTCGATTCCTAGTCTGCCTACCCTAGCCTCAATATTTCTGTAATTTCATGTCTAATGAAAAATAAATTGTCTAAATTTAGGCCTTCTCTTCTGCCTTTCTTTCGTTCGCCTTATCTTTATCTCCTCAACCACCATTCCAGCGATGCCTAAACGTTTCGTATAATATATTCATATAATAAATATAAAACTTACCTAAGTTATCGAAACAGACTTTTCTCAGAATGGTTCGCTTTGTTGAGGGACGTGTTAGTTACGAAGAAAATCTGAAAGTTAAACAAGAGTTAGTACTAGAAAACTAATTAAACAAGACTATTAATACAATAAAATAACCTAAAACAGTTTAGCTGAGTTTTTTAATATTGTCCTAGATGCTAGATGTGCAAGCCACTCCTTAGCCCTTAGTAAAGAAAATAAATCTAAACATCTGAACCTAATAGGTATATAAGAAGCATAATGAGTCGCGGGAAAGAAAACATATCTCAAATAATTGTAGGTAGAAATCACCTTTATCACCCAAGGAACCTGATCCCTAAGTACAGTCTATTTCAATTTGCTAGAATTGTGACCTTGAAGAAATCTGCGCGAAGATAGAAAGAATTCACACTAGGCGTGAGCAAGACAGAAATTTTGTTTAGTTTTTTGTGTTTTGCCGGTCATTAAAATATATATTATTGTTGTTTTCGATGTGGCTTCCCCAAGAAGGTGTTGTTTACATAATCCAAACTGTTTTTGATATATATATGATGAATATATTTTTGAAAAATATCTAAAACCTATATCGTACTTCGTGGGGATTCTCTTTGGTTTAGTTTTTATGATCTACTAAAGGTATTTCAAAACTTTAAGATACAAATAAATTTTGAAGCAGTTTCCTAAAGGTGTATGAGTTCTATTAATTAAAAAAGAAACAGTATCTGTGTTCTCTAAACTTTTGAAAATAAGGTCGAAATTAGACATGTCAGGTACGCGGACCTTCCATTAAATGCCACCCTCGAGAACGTTCCCGTTAATAAAGTTGCTTAACCACTAAACCATTGTCATTTTGATTTTTGGTTGACGCATTTTAACGAGACGGTTGGGTTGAAACCGTTGAGACGAGCCTATAATGTTTATAAACGCTAAAAGTCTGCAAGGTGGCAAAATTGTGACCGCAGATACCGTTTATGAAAACCTGATATAAGTAGGTACTAACAAGCAACAGAAATTGTAACAGTTAGGCCATACTGATGTACGAGGGCGGTTCAATAAGTACCCGTGTTTGAAGACAGAGGAAGTTCCTGAGAGATGGCGTTATCATTGTGTGCTGCTATCTATCAAAACAAATTTCAGACTAATTGATAGGTTAATTTGGATTTGGCAGCCATTCGAATNCATTAAAATTCACCTCCCACACTCACATTTAGATCGATTCCCACAAAATGTGGGTGATTTTAGTGAACTGCAGGGTGAAAGATTTCATGAAGATACACGGACAATGGAAGAGCGTTATCAAGAAAGGTGGGACTACCATATGATGGCCGACTACTGTTGGAGTTTGCAACGAGATCAACCTGATGTCGTTCATTTAAGGAAATCGTCTAAAAGATCATTTGATAGCGTACAATTGAAATTTAGCTTACATATATAGTAATTTTTTTGTATTACTTAATCGAAATATTAAATCGTATATTTCAAAAAGTAAAGCTGTTAGCAATCATCCAATATTTTTTTCAAAATCAGAGCTATAGAAATACCCAATAAAAGTAAAAAAAATTAAGGAAACAAAAATGGTGTTGACCAGTGTAATCAAATGAAAATCAACATAACAACCCCTCATTTAAGGAAATACTTTAATTGCGCCTTAAAAATACTTAAAATAGGAGAGATGTTTATTTGAGTAAGTATAGTATACTTCGCTTGGATGGAATTTATCGCGCCGAACATTTCGGTTTCGGTTGTAGTTTCGGCAGGTTTGCTGCCGAAACCGAAACTCGTTTTTTTGCCGAAACTTGACCGAAACCGAAACCGAACTTTCGGTCGGACACTAATGATCGGTGGAGAAATGAGCTCCGCCGACAAATATGATTGAATTTGGAATTATGCTACGGCGCATCCCAATAAAGGGAAGGGGAATTACTCTAACCACTTGAAACGAAAAGTATGTAATATTCTGTTTACCCTTGACAAAAACACATATATAATTTTATTAGAGCTTCTAATAAGTTCTAATACTATATTTTTTTGTAATTATAGAAAACTCTTGCCATTCTTTCAGACATTGCAACTATTCTGTAATAATTCAGGCAATTATCTGTACCACAAAAGCCTCCTCATCCTAAGACTCCTTTCAAGATTATCCTTTGTCGTCGAAAATATCACTTTAGATATAGTACATAAAACGGAAGAACAACTGGCCAGTTCTGTCATTATTATTATCTAAAGGGACGAAGGGACGCAGCAGAAAAGGGACTAGTACATATAGATGGCGGCACTGTGCAGTAATCGCTTTTGACATTTTGCGTACGCAATCGCAACATCAAAGGCCAAACACTAACGAATGCCTTTCAGCACGACTCTCTCCCTCCGATCCCTATGTTGTCGTCCTTCACTTCTTTTTAATGACATATCCTCCTTGTATCTTGTCCTGGCCGCCCCGGATGAGCTGATGAAAAGGGCACGTGAACATGCCAGAGACGCTAGCACTTATTATTAGGACATTTTTCTGAATGTTTGCTTTTTCATTAATATTCCGCTCAAGTACGGGGAATCCCACGGATTTTTAAACAACTTCAGCCACTTCATTATATCCACCTATCTGTCGCAACCGTGCCTACAAACAGGTATTTCGCCCAGTTTCGAACGAAATGATTTTAATTATTCCTTTTATTCCGAAGAGAGAGAAAAAAAAAACAGATTTTTTAATACGAGTGCGGATTAAAAACCGTCGCGATAATTACTAACTTGAAATTGATTTAATTCCTTTAATTAAACAGATTAAGTCGACAGGTGAAAAAAAGGTTCAACATTTCTATCAAATAATTAGAGGGATTGGGATCCATCCAGTGGGAAGAGCCTAAAAAACATGGCACTATAACGTACTATGCAAATTTTTTAAAAATCATCATAAGGTCGTCAGGCCTAAGACTGGTTGGACACGCACCTGTACTCTTTCCTATCCTGAGCTAATCATTGCATTTCCCTAAAACTAGAACATCCCACATCCTTAACTATTTGCGAACAGTAATCTACTCCTCCTAACTCCTGTCTCTGCTTCTAATATGTCTCTGACTAAACCTTCATGACTGATAAGGTGTCATGTGTCCTACCAACCTATCTCGCCTATTTCTTATTGACTTCCATAGAGTCCTCTGTTCTCTTATTCTTTCTACAGCCTCTTCATTTCTAACCTTCTCTATTCACGGTACCCCCATCATTCGCCTGTAATACCACATTTCGAACGCTTCTAAGCTTGTCTTTCCCGCCGCGCCCACCGTCCATGTTTCGCACCCGTACAGCGACACGCTCCAAACATACACCTTTAATAATCTTTTTCGAATTTCTAAATTAATCGTTTCTTTTTATTGAAAGCGACTCGACCCTGCGCTATCCTCTGCTTTACATCCCTACTACTCCTTCCGTCCTGACTTATCTGACTTCCCGGATACCTCAGTCACTTCTTGTAATCCTTCGTCTTCTATCTTTATATTCGCTCTTTTCGTAACTACATATAATACATTTCCTTGCTTTTTAGATACCCGCCAATAACTATTTGAACAACCCTCATTTTAGGCATATTAAAAAAAGTTACTGTCATTAACGAAATATGTTTATTTTGTGTTAATACAACTGCGGTTAACTATTCATGAATGATTTACAGTTTTTTGAGATGAATACCAGATAACGTGGTCGCCGCAAGTACCAAACAGATGAAACTAGTTTTACTAGGTGTGTGTCTATATTTTGGGATGATTATGTTTGTGTTAACGCAAGTCCTGCATTTTACACTGTTTAGCTTATTAGGCTTTGTTACACTCTTATTTTTACTAAATGAAACAAAACATCACTGACATTTGCAATAGAGACACCGTGGAATGAGCCCACTAACCTCTACAATGATTTTAATAAATAATTTCACCACCCACATGGATCGTTCCCATACAACCCTCATCTGAAATACAAGTTCTGCCACTAGGTGGTGTTATGCCTATTTCTATGCTTTTACCAATTACTACGTAAGTTAAACCTGGCATAAAATACTTTTTGGTAAATGATGTCAAAAAAAGCTACAAAATTTAAAAGAGAAAACTCCCTTTATAATTAATTTCTCATAGAAGACTTTATATTTTACACGAGACAGTTTCAAAGGTTAAAGAAACTTATTATAAACATAAAAAGGTGTTTATATGTCTAAAAAAAGAAAATGTGTGCCTCAGTCATTTTACATAGACATAGATTTTAAATATAATTACTAGTCTGCTTGCATTTAACTCTGAGAAAGTAGTGATTTAATGTATAAATTCAGAAAATGAGGCGCTAACAAGGTAAAGGAGTTATGTAACAAAAAGGCAACGCTAAAAAGAGCAGAGTACCTACTCATTAAAAAATTTAAAGGAAAACTTTCTGTTCAAAAATGTTATTAACAAGAGGTCACTATTATTTTATATAGTACGACGGATGTTATAAAAAACAAATTATAACTAAAAGTTAACTAAATGACATATTGTATACCACTACTCCTTCTTTTTCTGTTTAATCTATCCCAATTCCCAAACTATTACTTTAAAGGATTGAATTATACGTTAGTAGAGACTGAGTTTATAGAGAGAAACGAAAAAACCGACTCCAGCAATAATCCATCTATATATATAAAAGAAAGTCGTCTTAGTTACACTATTTATAACTCAAGAATGGCTGAACCGATTTGGCTGAAAATTGGTGGGGAGGTAGCTTAGAACTAGGAGACGGACATAGGATACTTTTTATCCCGTTCCCGTGAAAAAAACAATGTGGTATAAGAAAACGCAACTGACAGCAAAACGAAAAATTTGTCAGTCAAACTATCAGTCTAGCCGTTCATTTGTTAAAAGTGGTGTAATATAATGCAACGTAATGTTGTCTATGGTTAAGTACGGTGTTTTATCTATAGTCAGATTTATCTGAAACTTGGCCTTAATGCTTTTTCATATAAAATTAGTGACATACATACCTATTTCAACATTTTACAAAATTCTAGTCAATTTCATTTAGTAAGCTTTCTTGTTGTTGTATTTTTGTGAACTGTTTT